TTGATGAAAGTGGCGGGGCAGGGAAACAGAGGGGAGCAATGCGCAGACAATGAGGTTGGGTGTGCAGGAGCTGGGGGAACTGGGGTCGGCCGCCGGGCGAAAAACTGTCATTCGTGCTGCATCGTGGCGGGGTGCAGCGCCGCTGCTGCCGCGGGCTGTGCTGCTGGCAGGCAGGGCTGGGGCAAGCTGCTCACGCCATGGCGGACACCTTGCCCTTCACCCGCTCCAGCACCTGCGGCGGGAGGGGCCAACCAGGGGAGTGGGTGAGGGGTCAGCACGCGCGCCCCTCCCCGACACCCTCCACACCACACCCCCCGCTGCAGTCGGTCCCACCCCACACACACGCATGCCGCCACACCACTCCACGCGCATGCAGACCCCACCCCCTCCCTCCACACACACAACACCACGCGCGCGCGCACACAACACACACACACACACACACACACGCTCTCTCACCATGTCGTCTGCGGTGTAGTCGGGCTCCTTGCGGAACGTGCCCCGCCCAAAGTCCTTCTCGTAGCTGTCCCGCAGGCCGTCCAGCAGGCCAAACTCGGGGACCCAGTCCAGGTCCGCCATCGCCTGCGGGAGAGGGGTAGGGGAGGCGGGGAGCAGGGACGGGGCGGGTTGATGGAGACGAGAGCAGGCGGCGGTTGGCAGCGGCAGCGGCCAGGGCACTGTTGTGGCGAAATCAAGCAGGCAGGACACGCCCCCTGCCTCCCCTCACCCACCTTGTCCACAGAGGCGAAGAAGTGCTGGTCGCGCATCGGGAAAGCCTTGGCCTTGCCTGCGCGCGGGACGGCGCGGGGAGAGCGCGGCATGAGCTCAAGCAAAGAAGGGCGCGGGGCGGGCCCAGGCAGCACTCCTCCCACCCCAGCCGGCCGCCGCGGCACCACCCCCGGCGGGAAGGTGCCACCCCCCGGCCCAGCACTCCAGCACGCTCCCGCAGCACGCGCGGTCAGGCGAGTCCACCACCCACCAAAGTCGAAGTCCTTGGGGTTGAAGTGCACCAGCTCGGGCTCGGGCGCGCCCATGGCGGCGGCGCACGCCTTGGCCAGGCCATCAAAGGTGACGTACCGCTCGCCCGCCACGTTGTACACCTGCCGCGCCGCCTTGGGGTTGCCCAGGATCTTGACAAAGGCGGTGGCCAGGTCCTTGACGTGGCCCAGCTGGGTCACCTGCCGGGGGCGCGCGGCAGGTGGTACGGGCAGGAAGGAAGCAATGGGTTCATGTACAATTCTAAAAAGCTGAATAGTTTGATCCAATGAATGTTGGATGCAGGCCCTGGCGTGCAGGCGAAAGCACGCAGAGCCGTGCTGTGCTGGCTGCAGAATCCCCAATCAGGCACATGCCCGGGCCGCGCCTGGCACGCACACGCGCGCGCACGCACACACACCTGCATGCCGGAGCCGGGCACGCAGATGGGGCGGCCGGCCTTGATTCGGTGAAAAAAGAACTCCTCAACCGGATTGTAATTCAATGGGCCTGGGCAGACGGTTTTTGGGGTCAAACCATCGAAAAACACGTTAATTAATTGTGAAGTTGCAGGGCTCGGGCGATTATTTTAGCGGCAGCTTTGCAGCCAGCACGCACCGTAGATGTACACGGGACGCACGCTGGTCCAGTTGATGCCCCGCTGCTCCAGCAGCTCCTCAGTGAACAGCTTGCCCTGCGGGGGCGGCGCGCAGCAACATACAAGCTAGTGTAAGCATGGGCAGCCGGGTCTGCAGGCGGAGGCCTAGCGAGGGCCGACCTGCGCGCCGGACCGACGTGGCGCAGCCCCGCGGCGGCGCCCGCCCTCATCTCACCCTGCAGCCGCCCTCCCCCCACCTTGTGCCTGGACTTGAAGTCCACCTCGTCCTCCTCGCGGTGCGGCATCTGGTCGCTCTTCTTGTACACGCCCGCCGAGGAGCAGAAGATGTACTGCTGAATGGGGCCCACCGCGTCCAGCACCAGAGCGCACTCGTCGGCCTCGCGACCGTTGATGTCGTACACCACTGCAGGCGGGGGCGGTTGGCGGGTGCAAACGCGCTCCGGGTGGGGTGGGGAGCTTGCTGCTGACGGCCGCTTGCTGCTACTCCCAGGCCAGCCCAGTAAACGCTGCTGCCAGCCCTGCTGTCCCCCGGCAAGAGCAGCAAGAGCAGGCCAGCCCGCGTCTCACCCTCGAACCCCTTGTTCTGCAGGTGCGTCTTCATGGCCTCGGCATCAGTGCGGTCGCACGCAATGTGCTTCACAGACTGCTCAAACTTGGCAAACGACTCGTCTGCAGGCGGCGGGGCAGGGAGCGGGAGGAGGCCAGGGGTCACCACTTCCGAGGCGCCGCAGTGAGGTGGCAGAGGCAAGACGGAGCGGCAGGGCCGCATGCAGGATGCATGCCAGCCAGAGGTCCACTCTGCACCATGCCCATGAGGCCTGCAACGCTGAGGTGTCGATTCCAGGAGCAAGAGCAAGCGACTGGTGCGGCGGTACGGTCCCGCACCCGTATCATCGGGGATGCGGTACGTCACCGGCTTCTTGCCGCGCGTCAGCAGCGTCACCTCGTGACCTGCCTCGATCAGCTGGCGGGCGAGGTACAGGCCAATGAAGCGGGTGCCACCTGCGGAGCCAGGAGAAGATAGTTAGGGGTGCAGGTGAGTTGCTCCATTGGTGCGACAAGGCTGAGAGGAGCGAAAACGCCCTCTGCAGGCGCCCTGCTGGCTGCATCTGGGTGCTGCCCCGGCCACCTGCCCCACAGGACCACTCACCCAGCATGAGAATCTTCTTGGGGGCCACGGCCGCTGACATGACGGTGGAGCAGCGGGCAGCGCCACGGGCGGCAGCGCCGCGGCGGGCGGCACTGGCGCGCAGCTGCAGCGGGCGGTCCCCATGCATTTGTGAGGCCTGCCGGGGTGCTTACGAGGCATGTGCGAGCCTGGAGCGGGCTGTGCAGACCGCTTGCAGTGGTAGTCTTGTTCAGCCTGGCAATTGGCGCCCTGCCTGCTCACCTGCTGGGCTGGGCAGGCGGCAGACTCCTTGTACAGCACATTTATCCGGCGCAGGCCCGCAAACGGAGCAATCTGCTGCTGGGAGAGCGCGGAGGTGCAGGCCTTGGGGGTCTGCACCGTGCTGCAGCGCATTGACACTGCCGACGCCATATTGGAGGTGCTGATGATCGCCGTATGCACGCCAGCCCTCCGGCAGCACCGCAGCCTTCCCGCCACATCCTGCTGCGGCCACAGCAGGGCCGCAGCAGGGAAGATCGCCGCTTGCTCCCAGCCAGGCGCCTTGCAATTGCTGTATTTTGACCCACGGCGCCCCTCACTATACTGGACAACCGCTGGGGCTCCACAGGCGCAGTTCTCTGGGGGTCTGACAGAAAGGCGCGGTCTTGAGGCTACCACCGCTCCCCGGCCCGCTCCCAACGCGTACAGCACCTTGACACTGAAGTACCAGCCAGCATGAGGCCAGCCACGCTTCCAGTGGAGCACTGCCAGCCATGCTGCTCGGGAAGAGGCTTGCAAGACCTGCGGTGGGCCCGCTGCCGCCGCAGCGTGGCAGCGGCGGCCATGTATGGCGGCCAGCGGCATCAGCAGCCCCCGCAACCGCAGCAACAGGCCCACCAGCCGCCCCCGCCGACGGCTGCAGCGGCCGCTGGCCGCGCAGCGCTTGTGGCGACTGGTGCCTTCACCGCCGCCCTCAGCTACAGCAGCAGCACGACCACGTCAGAGGCGGAGGCGGAGCAGCAGCAGGCGCAGCAGGGCGTGCCGCAGGCAGCGGCGGCCAGCCAGCAGCGTGACGATGACGGCATGCTGCGGCAGCGGCAGCGGCCGCTGAAAATCAACCTGGATCTTGCGCTGGTGAGCCTGCTGCCTGGCAGCCCTACCTCTTGCTGCCTCATGACCCACTGGGACACCCGGAATGGAAAAATCCATGGCGGCCGCCTGCCTGGTGCCACCGGGAGCCACGCAAGGAGGCGCCACCCCCCATGCAGCTGCCGCATGTGTGCTCATGCGCATCCCTGTTTGCCTCGCTCTCCGCCTGCTGCAGTACCGCGCCCGCCAGAAGCGCCTGGTGGCCAACAGCTCCAAGAGCAAGCACGACCGCAGCCGCGTGCTGCGGGAGGTGGAGGAGGCGCTCAAGAGGTGGGCCCCCGTGTGGGACCGCAGCAGGCAGCCGGGGCGTGGGTGGTGGCACGCGTGGGGATCCAACCTGGACCTGCTGGCAAACAGCGCCACGGAAGGGGGCTGGCCCAGCATCAGGGCAGCCGAACGAGGGCACAGCCTGCTCTCCCCACCAGCCCCAGCCTACCCGTCACCGTGCTTCACCATGCTCCTCCCTGCTGCCACTGCTGCCACTGCTCCTGCCAGGTGCAAGGAGCTGTTCCCCGAGGACGGCCGCTCGTACGTCAGCCTGGGCAAGCTGTACGTGCAGCAGAGGCGGTACGACGAGGCGCTGGCGCTGTACGAGGAGGGCTGCACCGCCACGGGTGTGTGCATCAGAGCAGCACACAGCGCAGCAGACGAAGCAGAAGGCCATAAGCTGCAAGCATCCTGCATCCCAGCCGTCTTCACACATGGCGCCACAATCCGCCAGCCTGTTCCGACCAGGCGCCCTGCCACCCGCCGCCCCCACTGTGTTATGCAGGCGGTACCAACGCTCACCTGTGGGCCGCCTGGGCCTACCTGGCAGCCAAGCTGAACAATGTGGGGCTGGCGCGCAAGCTGTATGACGCCGCCATTGTGGCCAACCCGCAGCACGCCGCCGCCTGGCACGGCTGGGGCCTGCTGGAGAAGGATCAGGGCAACTACCTGAGGTGCGCACGCTGCCGGCTGGGCTTGGGGCTCCGGGGCGGGATGGTTGGGACTGGCGGGGTTGTGTGGGTGGATTTAGGTGGGTTTCCGGCTGGCGGCTGGGCAGGCGGGGTGCTGCGCATGCCAGTGCCGCTGCCTCCGCCGATGCAGTGCTCCTTGCTGTGCCTGCGTAGCCGCACACGGAGCTGCGCTGGTGCTGGTGCTGCCGCAGGGCGCGCGACCTGTGGCTCAAGGGCATCCAGTCGCTGCGGGCCAACCCCAACCCATACCTGTATCAGAGCCTGGCGGTCCTGGCCGCTGAGATGGACTGTGTGGAGGAGGCGCGCAAGTGGTTCCGGGAGGGCACCCGCACCGTCAAGGTGCGCACTGGCTGCTGCTGCCGGCGCCCCGCCGGTGGCGGCCGCGGACGATGTGTGACTGGGAGCGGGGGCTGAGCTGGGTCGCCGCCGCCGCCTGCCCCGACCCGCGCCGCCGCGTGCCGTGTGGCGCAGGGGCGTGCCAGCCACGCGCTGTGGCAGGCGTGGGCGCTGATGGAGCAGAAGCAGGGGGACAGGGACCTGGTGCGCGCGCTGCTCAAGCGCGGGCTGGAAGTCAGGTGATTCCGAGGCCTGTGCCGTGAACTGGCCTGGCCTGGCCTGGCCTGGCGGGTGGCCCAGCACGCTCGGCAGCGCGCGGCATGCCCGGCGGGCAGCTTGGGAGGCTGGGCAGGGCAGGCGCGCCCCTCCCGCTGCTCTTGACGCTGCCGCCGACCTGAGCCGCCGTACCCTGCCCTTCATCCGCAGCCCTCGGTCGCGCTACACCCACCTGTCGTGGGCGCTGTGGGAGAAGGAGGAGGGCAACGTGGAGGAGGCTCGGCGGCTGTTCAAGCGCGGGTCGGAGCTCAACCCGAGGGACGCCGCCATCCTGCAGGCCTGGGCGCGGATGGAGGAGGAGCAGGGGGAGGCGGAGGAGGCGCGGCGGCTGTTCAAGCGCGCCAGCCGCGTGGACCCAAAGCACCTGTACGTGTGGCAGGCCTGGGGGTGCCTGGAGTACCGCCAGCACAACTACGACACAGGTGGGCGGGGCATCCTGCGCCGGCGCCACGCTGTGCTGCTTGGTGGGCAGCGCTGTGCATGCGCCGCGGGCCCACCGGTGCACAGCCTCACGCTCCCTGCTTGCCCGCATGCCCCTTGCCGTGCCCTCACTGCGCGCCGCCCACCTCCCCTCTCCCCTCCCTCCCTCCTCCCTGCCCCGCAGCGCGCGAGCTGTTCCAGCAGGGCATCTGGGCGGCGCCGCCGCGCGACCCCTCCGTCTCCCTCGTCTTCCAGGCCTGGGCCATGCTGGAGCGGGACGCGGGCAACACGCAGCTGGCGCGCGAGCTGCTCAAGTGCGCCGTCAAGGCCGACCCGCGCAGCGAGCCGTCGTGGCTGGTGAGCCGAGGGCCGGGGGGGCCGCTGCCGCTGGCCGCAGCCGCGCGGCCGCCGCGCGCCTGCGCCTTCAAGGCCGCTTGTTTGCTGCGCCCAGGCTGGCACGGGCAGCGCCGCGCCGAGGCTTTGCCGAGTGCCCTGGCTGCTCCCTCCCCAGGCCCCGCCTCCCTCCCGCCCCGCCCTGCTCCACCCTTGCTCCCTCCCCTCGCCACCTCTGCCTGTTGCAGGTGTGGGCTGAGATGGAGGAGGACCTCGGGTTCCTGGAGCGCGCGGCCGAGCTGCGCTCCTTCAACATGCACGAGCGGGTGCAGGTGGTCAAGCCCACCAACTTTGCCACGACCGGCGCTGGCGGCAAGGTGGGCGGCCTGCTGGCCCCCGTGTTCCAGCAGATTGCGCGCTGGTTCCAGCGGTACGAGGAGGAGCGCGAGCGGCAGGAGCCGGAGCTGCCCGAGCTGCTGGCGGTGGAGGTGGCGGCGGACCGCGCCCGCGCGGCGGCGCGGGCCGGCGACGGCCGCCAGCGCTGAGCGCCGGCAGCGGCGCTCCCCGCCCCCAGGGCGGCGTGCAGCCTGAGCGCGTCATTTTTTTTCAGTGAGAGCTTCTCTCTACACCAGTTGTTCAGGGCTTGATTTCCATCCATGCTGTTGGTTATGTGTTCCCGCCGCACGGCGGCCTGGCCCTTCTCCCTGCTCCGCCCAGCTGCTCAAGATGAGATGAACGAATGCATACTTATGACGGCATGTTCGAGCCGGTCGCCATACAATGAAAGATGTACATCGCTGTAACTGCAAGCACAAGGATTTCTGCCGTTCACCTGTGCGCTAAAAGCGGCGCCGTTGCGCCTGCTCCGCCAGCCCTTAGCTGCCATCATGGCAGTGCCATGTGACCGAGCTCGTGTTTGCCCAGGAGCTCATTTCATTCTACATCACAGCCATGGCGCAACAGGATGTTCTTGTGTTCAGCCTGTCAAGGCTCGGGCCAGCGGAGTTCAGCCTCGATCAGCCAACCCGCTTCCAGCTCGCCCAGGACATGGTGCCCGACTCCCTGGCGGCACAGCGCTCCGCCATGCCCGCGCTGGCGGCCGGCGGCTTTGCCGGCAGGGTGCAGGCGGACGCTGCCCGCCCAACGAGCGGTGGCGCCACCGGCGGCGGCCTGCTTGCTCTGCCGCAGGCCTTTGGTTCCGTCTACCTCGGCCAGGCGAGCTAGCCGCCTTGCCTGTTGGCCCACATGCTTCACTGGCTGCCCATCGGCATGCACACCTGCCGCCCAGCTACCCACCAGCCCCGCCCAGGGTTTCCCGCTCGCCGCCGCCACCCAACGCCGCCGCCCAACGGGTTCGCTGTGCTTTGCCGCCGCCCACCCCTCCACTGCAGTCCTTTGCCGCCATCATCGCCGCCTGCAACTACAGCGACGCTCCCATCACGCTGGTGGGGTTCAAGGTGCGGCGGCGCGCTGCACCACCTTGCCACCTGCCTCCTGCCACCACCGGTCATCCCCCCGGCGCTCCGCACACGCACCGCACCCCCACACACCTGCTCCTGCCACCCTCTCACCACCCCTACTGCCGCCACACACGCACACCGCACACCGCCTGCCTGCCCGCCTGCCATGCCTGCCTGCCCACCTGCACTGCCCCCGTGCTTTCAGGCGGAGCTGTCCACCGAGCGCTCCCGCCTCGCGCTGCTGCACGACTCAGCCGCCTCCCCGCTGCCCAGGCTGGCCGCGGGGCAGCGCCACGACTTGTTGGTCAAGCATGACATCAAGGACCTGGTGGGCGAGGGGCCGCTGTGGGGCCGCTGGGTTGCGGAGGCAGCCTGGCGGCGGCGGTGGGGTGGAGATCTGGCGGCGGGTGGCGGCCAGCACAGAGTGTGGAGCGTGGAGAGTGGCAAGAGTGACCGGCCTGCCTGTCTGCCTGGCATGCATACCTGCCTGCCATGCTTACCTGCCTGCGTGCCTGCCGACCTGCGTGCCCGCCCGAGCGCCGCAGGGCGTGCACACGCTGACCTGTTCCGCCAGCTTCACCTGTGGCGAGGGCGAGCGGCGGCTGCAGGCCCAGGCCTTCACCTTCTCCTCCCTCAACCCGCTGGTGGTGCGCACAAAGGTGGGTGGCCGGGCTGTGTGGCGCCTGTGCCTGTGCCTGTGCGTGTGGGAGGTGCTGGTGGTGGCGTGGGAGGCAAGGGGCTGGAGCTGGCATGCGGCGTCAGCGGTCAAGCGCAGCTGCCCCCGCTCTGCCTCCCTTCAATCCTGGCTTGGCTGCTCACCTGGACAGCGCTGTGCCCGTGCCTGCCCGCCCGCCGTGCCCTTGCGCGCCCGCAGCAGCGGCAGGTGGGGGAGGCGGTGCTGCTGGAGGCGACCCTGGAGAATGCCACCAAGGCGCCTATGCTGCTGGATGCCATTTCTTTCTTCCCCGCCCCGCCATTCGCCGCCCAACGCGTCGGCGGCGGCGGCGCCAGCTCGCCGCCGCCGCCGCCGGCGGCGGGGCGCGCGGGAGATGAGCCTGCGGGGCCGCTCAGGTGCGCCGGCTGGAAGCGGCATGGGCGCCAGGCAGCTGCCAGGCAGCAGCTGTGCGGGCCAGCAGTGCTGGGGCTGTCACCTCAGGGTGCCCTGCCCTCTGCAAAGCCGCTGACTGGCTACTCACTGAGCCGCATGCGCCTCTGTGCTGCTGTGCCCCTCTCTGCCACCCACTCCCTGCAGCTCTTACATCCAATCCCTGCCGCTCATTCCAGAAGGCGGCGCCTCAGCCTTCCTGTTCCACCTCACGCGGCTGCCGGCGGCCGCTGCCGGCAGCCCCGGCGGCGCCATGCCCGGCGCCAGCCCCGGCACCAGCCCCAGCAGGGCGGCAGCGGCGGCGGCTGCGGCGGCTGCGGCGGCGGCCGAAGCCTCTGGGGCGCTTGGAAAGATGGAGATCCGCTGGAGGGGCCCCATGGGGGAGATGGCTCGCCTGCAGACGCAGCAGATCAGCCTGCCGCAGCCGGTGAGAGGGCAGCAAGCGGCCCCGCTCGGGCGCACGAGTCGCTCCCGCCGCTCGCCGCCGCTGCGCCTGCCTGCTGTCCCTGCCGGGAAGCTCGCTGCCCTGCCCTGTGCCGTTGTTGTTTGGTGCCTCAGCCAGGCAAGGCCGTCGCCGCCCAGCCTGGTGCAGCCTGTCCCCACCCATGCCCAACCCGCCTGCCCTGCGCCCCTGCTGCCCACCCGCCCTGTGGTGCAGGCGCAGCGTGAGGTCAGCCTGGCGCTGGCCCGCCTGCCTGGGCGGGTGGCTGTGGGCGCCCCCTTCACCGCCACCTTGCGGGTGCAGAGCCACGTGGACCGGCCTGTGGGGCCCCTCAAGATTGCGGCAGCAGACGCCCCCTCCCCAGCCGGCAGCCCCTCCCGCAGCTCCAGCCTGAGAGCCAGCAGCAGCGGCAGCCCCAGCCGCGATGGCTCCCTGCAGGGAGGCGCCGTGGCGGCGGCGGCGGCGGCGGCAGCGGCAGCCGTGTGCCTGGATGGCGCGCAGTCGGTGCTGGTGGATGAGCTGGCGCCGCGGCAGGCGGTCGAGGTGCAGCTGCGCATGCTGGCGCTGGCGGCGGGGCAGCAGGCGCTGCCAGCCATGTGCGTCGTCAGCGAGCGGGACGGCAAGCAGTACGGGGCGCTGCCGCCCGCGGAGCTGTTTGTGGACTCGGCCTGACCGCCGCTGCTTCTGCTGCCACCGGCGGGATACCCATGACTTGCTGTTCAACAGAGTAACACTCTCTTGCATTTGATCCTTTCAAGTCGATCTCTCGCTGCTGTGAAGGCATTGCCTGCCCCCAAACTGGCTTCTCTGGTGGGCCAGGAGCCTGCGCCGCACTGGTTGTATTACAGAATGGCCCCCACTGTGTTTCAGCAGAAACCCCCTGGGTCGTTGCATTAGGAGAGCAGGAGGCCAGAGATGGGGCCCGGCACGGGGAGGTGCGGTATACTTAGGGAATGCTTGGGGCAAGGGAGAGATGGCATTGGCTGGGGAGGCAGTACGTCATTTGGGGGGGGGAGAGGTGGCGCTGGAATGGCGGCCCAAAACTGGCCAGAGCCGGCGTGGACAAGGGGCGCTGGCTGCTGGAGGAAGCTAAGGCGGGGTCACTAGTGGTACAGACGGGGCCCAGCAGAATGATGATCGATGATGCTTGGGGCGTGCGCGTCAGGAGCGAGGGAAGTCATGGGGAGGTCAACGCAGGCGGGTCGGTGGGCGCATGTGCGCCGTGCCGCAGCTGCGCGTGGGGCGCTAATTTCGATCGAGGGATTCAACACAACATACGGGGCGGGGACGGGAGGCGGGGCTTCACGGGTCTTGGCTCGAAGAGGTGTAGGAGCGTGCGTGCCCCAGCCCCCGACAGGAGTTGCCGGCAGGAAATGCCCCGCCGGCACAAAACCAAAGCAGGTCTGGCTGTACCGGTATGGCGTGCATGCACACAGATGGCGACTGGTTGGTTTGGATGGGTGGGTGGGGGTCGGTCAGGGGCAGGCAGGTCATGGCCGCTGCGTCAGGCTGTGCGCTGTCTGTCAGGCGTCAAACAAAACCAGGCAGTAACCCGAGGGGGGAGGAAAACGGGGAGCGGAGCAAAGAATGCCGCCGGGTGGCGGGCGCATGTGGGGGGGAGGGTGGCGCGAATGGGCACAAAAAAGTGGGCAGCACCGCGGCGTCCGCTGCTCCGTGGGGATGGTGGGCAGGAAGAGAGAGAGAGAGAGACCAATTGGAAAAAGCCAGTTTGGGTGACGAGCACGGCACGGGGCGCACACGGGCACAAAAGGGCGGGGCCCAGGCCCGCGCGGCACATATGGAAGCGGATCCGTTCCGCGGGGCGCTTCGCCAGCGCCCCACGCCCAAGAAAATCGAAGTTGAGGTTGATGGCAGAGGGGTTTCGTTTGTGGCGTGCCCAGGCAGCCAGCGGGCGTGCCTCCCCGCGCGCCCAGCCGCCGACGTGCGACGGGCGAGCCGGGAGGGCGGGGCTGGCTCACCGCGGCAGGCCCATGCGGTGCCGCTTGACGGCGGACAGGAAACAGGCGATGACCTCCGACTCGTCCACCTGCTGCGCCGCAAAGTGCTCAGACACCGCATCCAAAAGCTGGTCGCGCGTCGCCTGCTGCTCCTCCGCCGCGGGCTGCACACAAGAGGGTGGGCGCGGGGCATGGGGCGGGCATGGTGAGTGGTGATAGGCTGGATGCGAGATGGGGCGCGGGTGAAGGTGCTGCAAACCAGGCAGCCGCAGCACATGGCGCCACGGTTGCTGGCCGGCGCCGCCGGCCCGAGATGGCCAACAAACACCAGCAGCAAGAGCTACCGCACCAGCTGCTCGCTTTAAGGCAGCAAACAGCAAGCGGCAGGGGCAGTGGAGCGGCGGGAGCGGCGCGCAGGAGCGGCGGCACGCGTGGCAGCGGCGGCGGCGGTACGGCCCGGCCAGCTCACCAGATGGTACACCGCTCCGTACCGCTTCAATGCCGCCGTCTGCAGCTTGCTGAGGTTGATGCGGGGCTGCCCCGCGCCGCGTGAGCTGTGCAGCCGCGTGCGCCCGCCGTAGTCCTCGTACCGCGGCTGCGGCGGCACCGACGACGGCCGGCGCGGCGGCCGCGGCCGGTCTGCAGGCAGGGGCAGCGCAGCGGGGGCGCGTCAGGCGGCGGATTCGAGCCTGCGGAGCGCTGGGGGGCGGCAGAGGGGGAAAGAGCGGCGGGCGCGGCGGGGATGTGTGGCCAGATGTGTGACATCCCGGCGGGCGGCGGCGGCCAATGGATATGGATGCCTTGCCTTCGGCGTGCGGCTCCGCTGGTTCGTACGGATATCCCCGAGCCGCCGCCATCTGCTGCTGCTGCTGCTGCCGCCGCTGCTCCTCCTCCTCCTCCTCCGACATATCCTGCGACGGGCGGGGCGGGCGCGCGGCGCGGCGGGTGGGTCGCGCGCGCAGACGGCGGCGGTGCCGGATATGGCTCCTGGCGCCGGCGGCGCGCCAACTTGCCTGCTCATTGCCGCTTGGCCGCTCCAACACCTCCAGGGCGTTGCGCTGCAGCTTGACCTCCTCTCCGGTGGGTAGCACCTGCGGGGGCGCGGTCAGGAGGTAGGAAGTCACGTTGCCATGTCTCGGGCCCATGGCGGAGGCCCCCGAACGCTACAGCGGCGGCGCCAATCCAATTTGGGGCGCCCGGGGAGGTGCCAGGCGCCCCCAGCAGGGCCGGCCAGGGAGGCCAGCAATCGGGGGGCGCGCGGGGGTCACGGCATTGGGGTGGCTCGCGAGCCGGCGCCGCCACCCCTGCCCCAATCGCCCAACAGTCCCTGATCGCCCCTGGACCCCTCACCGTCAGCCAGTGCCAGCCGCCAAGTCCCACGGCCCGCTTCACAATGGCCGTCTGGCCCAGGAGGCTCTGCTTGGTTCTTGCGTTCCCCACGATCCTCACAACCTGCATTTTCAGAATTACGGGCAAACAAGGCAACCGGTTTGTGAAAGAGAGCCGTTTGCCGTCATGAGATTGGCCTGCAGGTGCGGGCTGCGGGGCTGCGGCCGGCCGCAACAATCCACAAAAGCACAGGCACAAATAGGGCAGCCGACAGGCAAGGCTGCAGGGGCCGCAGGCACAGCCAATCCCGCCTCTCACCGTCCTCTTGGGCAGGAGCGCGGTGTCGCTCTCGCTGTCCCCTCCACTGTCCACTGGATTGTGCAGAGGCACCGAGGGAGGGAGGTAGAAGGCTGGCGGCTCCTCAGGGGCCTTCAGGCCCATGCTCCACTGAAATCCCTCCTGCATAGTTACCATACCCTGCTGCTGGCTGTTTCGAAAGCGTACCGATCACCCGAGGTGATTGAGCCGGAGAAAGGATCGAAAGAGTGAATGCCGCGGGCTGGCCGCCAGGCTTTTGCGCCCGAGGGCCTAGCTGGACCCCATGATGCAATCTTGCGGAACTCCACCCCCACGCCCCCTCCCCCGCGTGGATTAGCCCTGGCGATGCCAACATTGGTGGGTATTACACCGGCAGCTCATGAACAAGCCCCAGCCCCAGCCTTGGCGGCGCCCCACGCCGCCGTCTACCCCTCCCGCCCCGGAGCCGTGCAAAACACCAGCGCCGCATTCGTCCCGCCGAAACCAAAGCTGTTGGACAGCACCGCCCTGGGCCCAGGGGCCAGGGCGCAGGGCTGCCCCGCCACCAGGTTGGCCAGCAGCGGCGGGTCGGGGTCTGCCAGGTTGGCGGTGGCCGGCGCCACGCCGTGCCGCAGCGCCAGCAGGCTGAAAATGGCCTCCACAGCCCCCGCCGCGCCCAGCAGGTGCCCCGTGGCGCCCTTGGTGGAGGACACCGCCAGGGGAGGGCCGCCGCCGGGCGGCGAGGCCGAGGTGGCTGCCTCCCCAAACACAGCCGCGATGGCGCGCTGCTCGATGTCGTCGCCTGCAGAGGCCGCCGCCGGAGGGCGGCGCAAGCAATGGGTTCCCTCGAAACACGGCCCCCCCACAGCTGCGCAGCCGGTCCATACGATCCATGCATGCATGGCGGGCCACGGTCGCCCACCAAGCCAGCCGGCGCCGAGGTGGGGCTGCTCCCCGGCCGCCGGCCAGGCTGCACCGCAGCCCCACACCCAGCCAAGCCCTCGCTCACCCTGCGGCGTGGAGGTGGCGTGGGCGTTGATGTAGCAGATGTCGCGCGGGCGCAGGCCCGCCTGCCGCAGCGCGCCACGCATCGCCAGCTGGGCGCCGATCCCGTCTGGCGGCGGCTGCGTGATGTGGTGCGCGTCCCCAGACAGGCCGTAACCCCGCACCTGCACCCCGCACGGGCTAGGGCAGCCGAGTGTCATGGCCATACAGGCTCAGGTGAACATGTGACAAGGCAGGCAAGGCAGGCAGGCAGGCAGGCAGGCAGGCAGGCAGGAGGCAGCCAGGGTAGCCCCAAGCTGCGGCATAGCGCAGGCACCCCTCCCCCTCCCCCTGCCAACCTCGCCATAGATGGCCGCCCCACGGTCCAGCGCATGCTGCAGCTCCTCCAGCACCACCACCCCCGCCCCCTCCCCCATCACAAAACCATCCCGGTGGCGATCAAAGGGCCGCGAGGCGGCGGCGGGGTCGCCGTTGTATCGCGTGGACAGCGCCTTGAGGCGGCCAAAGCCGGCGAGCGCAATGGCATCCACGCACGACTCGGTGCCGCCAGCCAGCATCACATCCGCATCGCCCCGGCGGATCATGCTGCGCCGGCCAGGGGGTGGCGGGCCGGGAAGGGGTGGGACGGGCGGGGGGGAGATGTTGGGGGCCGGCAAGGGGCTGGGGACAGGCAGTGGTGGCATGGGGTGCTGGGCACAGAGCGGAGCACGGCGCCGCCTCGACTTGCGCAGCGCAGAGTCGCCGACACGCCTGCGCAGGGCGCAGCAGCGCCGGGGCACCTGAAGGCGTCGCCGATGGCGTGCGCGCCCGTGGCGCAGGCGGTGGCCACCGCGTGGTTGGGGCCCTGCAGCCCGTGGGCGATGCTGACCGCCCCAGCTGCCATGTTGACCAGAGTTTTGGGCACGAAGAAGGGGCTCAGGCGCCGCAGCTTGCCCTCAGCCTGCACCCATGAACCGCCGGAGCAGCGGGCGGGGCAGGGAGCCGCCGCTGTGGCAGCCGAAAGCAGCTAGCGTGCAGGAGCTGGGCAGAGCAGGGTGCTTGTGTTGTTGGAGTTGCCCCAGGGCCCCCCACCCTGCCTTTCCCCGACAGCGCATTGCCCTGGTGGTGCCATCATGCTGGGCGGCCGCCAGTGGGCCCCGGCTGGGCGGCAGGCCAGGCGCCAGCTGGCGGCAGCTTACCACCAGCACCCCAGCATCCGCCATGTCTGCCGTGCAGCTCATGCCCGCCCCAATGGCCACCCCCGTAGCCTGCCTCTGCTGGCTGCTCTCAGGCCGCCAGCCCGAGTCCGCCAGCGCCTGCAAGAAGCGAGTGGTCGGTTGCGGGCTGACAGCAAAGCTCAAACCGACAGAATGGCCAGGCGTGACGACAGCTGTGCCCGCCCCTGGGCGTCATCTGCTTGGCATGCAGGGCAGGCCTGTGCTGGGTGACCTAGCCGCTGCTGGATGTTGCAGCAGCCCACACCGTTCCCTGGCCAGCATTCCACAAGCCAGGGCGCACCTCTGCTGCCGCGGTGAGCGCAAAGCTCATAAACTTGGCGGTGCGCCGCACATCCTCGTGCGCCGCCCACGCGCATGCCGCCAGCTCATCCTGCGGCACACACGCCACCACCTGGCAGGGCAGCTGCGGCAGGGAGGCGCGGTGCGACTGCAAGGGGGCGGGGCGGGGAGGCAGGGCTGGGGATGTGTGCGAGGCTGACGTGCCGCGCCAGGCGCCATTCGTGTCTCCGTGGGCTGGTCTGGGTGTGCCGGTTCAGCAGCCCATCGTCGGCTGGTGCCGTAAAACATTCCAAGGCTCCTCAGTCACCTCTGGCAGGTCTTCTGCCTCCAGCTTGCGCACGCCCACGGCTCCCGCCAGCAGCCGCTCCCACACCGCCGCCACGCCGACGCCCAGCGGCGTGACCAGGCCCAGCCCCGTGACCACCACCCGGCGCGCTGCCTGGGGTGGTAAGTCGCCGAAGGGATCCACGAGCGTGGCCAGCTGCCTGGCGGGCTGCAGCCAGCCTGGGCGCACAGGTGATGGCCAGAACATGCCGGGGTTCGAGTGCGGCACACTGGTGAACCGTGGCAGTTTGCAGGCATCCAAGGGGCTACAGCGGCGGTCGATCGGGGCCTGGAGAGGCTCTCGCGGGGGGTGACGCGTGGCATCGACAGGCTGGCATGGTTATCAGCGAAAGCGCCTATTCTCCCGTTGCAACGAGCGGTTATAGTCACCAGATCGATTTGAGGGTCCCGAGACCGCAAACGAGGGGGTTTGACTTTTCCGGCATCTGAGACATTCGAGGCCTGCCCTCCTCCGCACGCAGCCCTCGCTGCGCAGGACGCCATGAGCTGGATCCCGCCATCCACAGCCGGCATATACGACCCCCAGAGTGAGCCGCCACGCTCCTCGGTCTTCCCCCGCAGCAACCGCCACCACAACCGCCCGCACATCAGCTTTGGGCCCTCCATCCAGCTGCGTCCCGTTTCCCACGCACACACCATAATTGCAGGCCGCTATGCACCCCGTCCTGCGGCAGCCGCCCCCGCTTTCACCTTTGGGCACCTGGAGGAGCGGCAGCAGCGCGGCGCCGACGCAGCACCGCCGGCTGCGGCGCCAGGGCCCGGCCCGCTGCCCATCAGCCAGCGCCCCAACAAGGCCAGCTTCGACCCCCCCGCGGAGCAGCTGCGCTGGTGGCAGCAGCCCCGCAGCGCGGCCACCGTGTCGGGCTCCTGCAACCGCGACGTGGAGGTGTATTGGGAGGCGGCGGCGGCGCAGCACGGGGCTGTCAAGGCGCTGGCAAACGCCGAGGCGCGGCGCACCAACAAGGCCCAGGGCGTGGGCAGCACCGTGGCTGCCAGCCTGGGGGACCGCCAGGAGTTCGACCTGACTGGGGAGGTGCAGAGCCTGTACAAGAGCGACCTCTGTGCTGGCCACCTGCGCGTGGGCAAGCGCGGCGTGGTGCAGCCGGCGGCCGCCATGCAGGCGGTGAGCAACGGCAGGGCGGGGGCTGACATGGTGCTGGTGTGGCATGGGCGGTGGCTGCGGATGTACTGGCTCAACAATGCAACACCCTGCCGGCTGGCTGTCCTCTGCCTGGCCCCGCTCCCTTTCCGCCCCACACCCCTGCCCCACACTCCCTCTTCTCGCCCACAGTATGAAGAGTCGCGCAAGCAGGCGGAGCAGAACAAGCTGGTGGGGCGCGCCACCAACATGAAGCTGTCACTGTTCTAGCTGCTCCAGGCGTTCCTGGCCCTTGACGGCAGCGGCAGCAGCGGGTGGCGGCGGCGACTGACTGTGGCTAGGCGGGTGTCACGGGTGCCGTTAAACGCTTGGTGGGTACACAGACGGGCGGGGCGAGGAGGGAGATACACGAGCGGCGAGGGACAGTGCTGGGCATGCGGTCTACAGTGTGTGTTGTGGCTGGGCTGGTGTAAAGGAACATGAAGCAATTCAAAAGTGGGGGCCAAGACAAAGCCATGGCGGGCGCGAAGCAGCCGACAGCCCGAGCGTCTCGGCACGCAGAGCGCAGCCGCGGCGGCCGTGCAGGAGGGTGAAGGGTCGGCACCGCCGCCCGGCTGTCGGGCAGCTGCGCAGCGGCCTGCAGGCCGCCTCGTCGCGGCCCGCCCCTCAGCCCTGCACCGTCAGCAGGTCGCTCTTGTCCTTGCTCAGCAGCACCTTCTGCACGCACTTGAGCGCCTGGCTCTGCACGTCGGGGTCGGGGTGCATCATCAGCCGCATCACCAGCTCCTTGCCGCGCAGCTCGCTGACGATGCCGCGCCCTGCATAGCAAGGGCGGCGTGCATGGATGAGGGTGGTGGGCAGGGTTTAGGGTAGCACAAACCGGAAAAGCAGCACGCCGAGGAGGGCAGGCCTGACACCTGCCATGCTGTGTAGCGCGTGCATCCCGGCGGCAGCGCATCCCGACTGCCACGCAGCCCCGCCCCAGCCCCAGCCTGCCGCCGCGGCGCACCATGGGAGATGTGGGACACAAACTGGGCCAGGTCCTGGCAGCCCACGGCGAGTGTGGTGGAGTCGCGGCTCGTCTCCAGCAGCTTCAGCAGCACCCGCAGCAGCTGGCAGTTGTTGTCAACCAGCTTCTCGGAGTTCTCGCGCCAAAAGGCGTCTGCAGTTGCGGGGGGGGCACAGCGCAGCGGGGCGGGCAGCGCGAGGAGCGCGGGTGAGCAAACCACAGCAGCAGCAGCAGCAGCGGCAGCGGGCGGGTGCCGCTTGTGCCACCGGGCTGTTCGATAGGAGCTTGGCTGCTGCTATGCAGCACAGCGTCCCGCAACACCCCAAGACAGGGCCCGCCACCGCTGCTGCGTGCCGCTGCCCGCTGCGGCGGGGCGTCGCTCATCTCCAAGCCCCTCCAGCTGCTCACCCGACTCGTGCATGGGCGCCCAGGTAAGCTGCCCCCCCAGCAGCTCCTTCTTGTAGCGCTCAAAGGACGAGATGGTGGCGATGCCCGCCTGCAGGTGCTCCCCCATCCAGTCCAGCAGGTCTGGGATGTCCTGATCATCCCAGTGCTGCACGGCAGGGCAGGCCAGGGCAGGGCGGGGAAGGGCAGGTCAGGTCAGGGCAGAACAGGCGTGAGCTGGACGCCGCATTCAAAAAGATGCCCTGCATCCCCCCGGGGTCTGCTCACCCTGCCCCAGCCCCAGCCCCAGCCCCAGCCCCACCACCACCACCGCCATGCCCCCTGCAGCCCCCCACCTGCAGCGCGCGGTTGGAGAGCGCCTTGGGCAGCCCCTTCTCCACAACCGCATACTCCAGGCTGGTGGGCCCCACAGAGATGAGGTTCTTGAGCGCCATGAGCGCCACACGCACCAGCTTCTCCTTCTGTGCCAGGCACCACGGGAGGGGCAGGTGGCGAGGTGGGCAGGGCAGCCAGTCAGGCAGGCCGGTGATGGCGAGCGGGCTGAGGTGGGGAGCCATCCAGCCACGCCAACAGCAGCAGCCCCCAGTCCCTCGAGGCATGCAGTACCACCACCACGGCCTGGCCGCACCGTACCGCCCCCAGCCCACCTGCGCCTGGCGCACAATGTCCACCAGCGCGCCCACCACGTTTGTGCTGCCGCACAGCACGTCTGCGGCGGGGCGGTAGAAGGACAGCTCCCAGCAGCACAGCGTGGCCTCGTACAGCAGCTGGATGTTGAGCTGGCCGGAGCCGTGGGCGGGCATGGCGACCAGCGGGGCCAGCAGCTGCACGCCCCCCGCGCGGTGCAGCATCGCGCGCAGCGGCGGCTCGCGCAGCAGGCGGCTGAAGGCGTGCACGGCGGTGGGCACGGCGCGGGAGGGGTCGCTGGGGCGCCGCAGCTGCGCGCACAGCCAGTCTATGAACGTGGCCGCCGCCTTCTGCACCTCCTCCACCGCCGCCGGCAGCGCGCCGGCCGAGGAGGAGGCGCCGTCGGCCGAGGCGGGGCCCGGGGCGCGCAGGGCGTCTTTGTCGGGGCGGCTGGCCAGCACCTCGGTGAGCAGCAGGCACGCCTTCTCCTGCGTGAACCAGTCGTTGCGGTGCAGCAGGCGCAGGAGGATCTGGTAGGCGTCCAGCGGACCGCCGGGGCCCGTGCTGCTCAGCACATGGAAGAGCTTGGCGCGGGCGGGGTCCTCTGCAGGGCGGGCAGGTTCAGGTGGAGCCCATCAGGAGCAGCAGGGCGGTGCCAGAGCCATGGGTGCCAGTCCCGACAGCCGCTGCGAAGCAAGCACCCTGGCTGCTGCTGCATCTGCTTCACACAGACTCAGCCAAGGCAGGCTGTGCGTGCAGCGGAGGCGCTGCATGCATGTCCGCACACACGCAACCACATCGCAGCAGCGCCGCAGGAGGGAGGTCGTTCCCACCCACCCACTCCACTCCCTCCCAGCCCGCACCTGCCAGCATCTCTTCTACCATAGCCAGCACATACTGCACCGTCTCATCCTTGGTCACATTCTTGAGCACAGCCAGGAAGGCCTCCACATACGAAGGGCCCGACTGCGGAGCAGCAGCAGCAGGCGAGGAGACAGCGGTCTCAGGGTGAGCGGCGGCAGCCGGCGTGGCCGCCGCGGGCAAGCAGAGTTCTGCGCGAAACTGCGGGCGCAAGCAACAGCAAGACTGCTACCACTGGCCGCTTGTGGTCACGGGTAGAGCACGCCCAATGCCAGGAGGAGGCGCGGCAGGCAGCGAGGGCGGGGCAAGCGGTGGACCAGGGCTTTGCCGCCCGTCCAACCCGCCGCATCTCTGTGCTCCCTCCGATTCTCCTGCCCCCACCAGCACGATTTCCCTGGCAGCAGCCTCACCTCCTCCAGCAGCTTGGCCTGAAACGCTGCGTCCTTCTTGTCGAACCTCCGCAGCAGCTGCAGGTCGCGATCCGTTATCAGGCGAGCTGTCTGGTAAATATCCCTGCAGCAGGGAGGCTCACGGAAGAACAAGCCCTGCTGAGATCAAGACCTGGCCCAGTGGAGGGTCAGGGGAGGCTGGGCGCGCTTACCAGGGTATGTCTCGCCTCAGGACCGCCAAACTATCGGCCTGGAAGTCAGGCTCGTCGCTGTAGAGCATGGCGCCCCACCGCCCACTCCCAGCGGGGATTGCGGCGCTACCCAAGCTCTGGCAAGGCAGGGAGGCCGATCTGGGCGAGCACAGGGGTTGAGCGACCTCGGTTTGCAGCAGGGCGCGCCGATCTGCCTCTTTCATGGGCCACTGGAAAGGCGGCAGCGGCGGCAGAGGCCTGGCCTAGGGCTTGGCCAGTACATGAAGAACTGGCCCAAAGGCTAGCCCATGTAGGTTGTGTGCGGGCATGGGAGCATGCCACAGGCCTACCAGACGCGCAGCTGCTGTTGGGGCAGGACCTGGGGTCTGGCACGTTGACCGCACCACCGAAACCGCCCGTCAGAAGCGCTGGCGCTCGCTCTGGGGCCAGCCTGGATCTGCTTGCTTGTTGCATTGGAAAGATCGCTGCCAGAACGGGTCGGGGGTCGCGCAGTAAACGAAATGAGCATAAAGCGACGACTGGCAGGGCCACACAAGGAAAACTGGTCTACATGTCAAAACATGGCAGAGGCGGGCCAGGCGGAAGCGAGGGAAAAGGGATGCCATGGCTTGGATGAGGGAGACAGCGCCGAGCGGCTTCAAAATCTACTTTTCGACGCGCTGGTTGCGAGGGTTGCGAGGGTCCTTCTGCCATCGCTCAAAGATCATCGACTTGTACTGCATGAGCCGCAGCCCAGGCTTGTCCTGCTTCAGGATTTCCAGCTGCTCTGCATAGTAGGCCTCCCAAGCCGCCTTGGCCCGCCTGGGGGAAGAAAGCATGGACGCATGCCGAGTGCATTGTCAGGAGGGGATCAGCGGAGATGCCTCCCAGCACTCGCTGCAGCAAACACAGCCAACAATGGGAGGAAGCAGCTCACTTCTCTGGGTGTCGGTCGGCGCCTGGGCTATCAAGCGTAAGCGCCTCTAGCGCTGCATCCACGCTGCGCGCCTCCACCACGCCCTCCTCTCTGCAGCGACAGGCGCAGGTGTGGAACCGACAAGAGCATCAAAGTTGGGCCCAAGCATGCAGATGCTGCCAGGAGCATTGTTGCATCGCAGCCCGCATGCTTCACAGCCGGGGTTTCCTCTTTCCCGTCCTGTGCTGCTCCTGCGCTCCTCACCTGTTCCTGTTCTCCACATCAATGGATGCCACATACTCGGCTTCACCCACCACGCGCTCCTGCCCCCGCTGCGCCGCCAACTGCTGCTGCTGCCGCTGCTCCCGCTCGCGCTGTTGCGCCAGCTGGTGCGCTGTCAACTGCAGCCAAACGCAGCGGTGGATGGCAGGGGTCCAGCGTCTGGATGGCGGCCAACAGGTGCCAGCAGGTGCAGCCATGCAGCGCCAACAAAGCAGCAGCAAGCAATGTGTTGCACGCTTGCAACAGCCAACCGCAGCAGACAGCCAGCGAGTGAGGTGGCCGGTTCATCTGCATGTTCGCTGCCCAAGGAACACCCTGCCCCACCTTGGGGGCTGCTGGTTTGGCCGACTTCTTCTTTGCAGCTGCAGCCAATGCCGCCTCCTCCTCTGCTGCCAGCCGCTTCGCCTCTGCCTTCTTGCGGGCAGCCTCCTCACGCTGGCGCTCCTACAGGGCGCAGGTACGAGAGCCACATTTGCAGCAGGGGAGGGAAGGAACGCAACAAAGAGCATGCCAAGAGACGGCGTCCCACCTGCTCCTCCTTTTTCACATCACGTTTCGCCTTGGGGTTGGCATGTGCATCCCAGTAGCCGTCCTCCTGCAAGCCCGGTGCAAAAAAACAAAACACACTTAGTGGTCTAAAAGCAACGGCCTCGAAAGCCGACGGGTTCGCACCTTGGCCGAGGCGGCCTTCTGCGCTGCTTGCTGAGCCGCCTGCTTTTTGGCGGCCCTGGCGTCAGCGACCTTCTCGTTGACGCCCCCTTTGTAACCCATGTGGAGGATCCCAACAGGCTCTGCGCACACCTGCATACGCACAGCGGGGAGGGCAGCGGCGGTCGGCGGCGCGAGGGTCAGGCGGGCACTGCCAACCAGAATGGTCACTTTGAATGAATCTGTGTGAGGTGGCTCACGCTCTGGCCGCAGGAGAACTCCCCAGGTCTGCATGATCGAGACTCATCTCGGCCCGCAGCGCAAGCGCAGTGGTCGCGCTCCTGCTGCTGCAGCGCAGTGCACCATAGCAATGTGGCTTGCTGCGAACACTGCGCGCACCAGAGATTGATTGCCTTGCCAGCGGCCTCTCCAGCAAGCCTTCTAACAAGGTTCTAAAGGCTTGGACTACAAAAAGCAAATCGCGGGTAGACGAGACGAGAGCTCTGTCGATGCCTCTGCCAGCATGTCTGCCCAGCGCGCAAGCCGGGTGACGCGCGGTCATCCATCGGTGGGACCCCCACAGCAAGCTGAGGCACCACATGCAGACCAGCACCTCTTCCATTCATGCTCCGATGATGAGTCTATTTGATGCGCGCCATGACCATTGCCAGTGTGGCGCACTAAAAGCTTGGTTGCACTACCAGCTCGGAGCAACTGAGAACCGTGTCACCGAACCTTGAGTGGCACCTCGATGGCTGCCTGCCCTTCGCTGCTAGATTCGGCAGCCAGATTTAACACAAATTGAATCTGCAGAGATCGCAGTCCTTCGCACCACGCAAAGCAGCACCAGCGAGAACTGGCAGGAGGCGGTGGCGGTCAGAGGCCGGTGGCGGCAATGCAACAGACATGACATCGACATCACGCCCCCCCTGTAGTCTTCAGTGACGATCCTGCGCCCAAATCATGGCGGGCCAGGCCTGGGAGGCAGTTGCCCAGTGCTGTCCCCATGGCATGGAGGAGCTGACCGGGCTTGGGGCGTGCACTGGCGGCCAATTGCAGACGTTCACCCTGGTGGCAATGCAAGGGCAAGGGATAAGGAGCCCACACCGACTCCCATGCATTTCCGCCAGGCTGACTGGACCCAGGCGGCCTGCCCGGGAGGGGGGAGGCATCGCGGCGACCACCGGGCTTTTCACAGCAAGGAGGGTCAGTGTGGGCTTGATTAGGCCCGGACGGTGAAGCGGGCACGGCAAAGGGGGACAAGATGGCTGGTGCGTCCGCTGGGCGCCTTGTTTGGGACCATTTGGGGTGGGGGGTATCGGAGGCAGCGGTGGGCACACGATCTCGGGCACATCTGGCCCAGGGAGGGCCCCCGCATGTCGCGCTACCCCTATCTCAGCCCTGGCAGCCGCCTGGGGTGCACCGGCGCGCTCATGGGCGCGGCTGACCGCCTTGTGGTGCAGACGAGGAGGTCATGCACGTCGGCAGGCGTGTCTACGTCTCCAACCTCGCCTGGAGGACGTCGTGGCAAGACCTGAAGGACAAGTGCGCTGATGGGCGGGGCTGGGGGCCTGTGCAGGCCGGCCAGCCGATGGGCAGCGGCAGCAGGGCCGGCCGGCTCGGCTCAAGGCGCCATGCAGCGCCATTGGGGGCGCCGCCGCCCGCACATACGGACGGCAGGCGGGCCCCCGTTTGACTCTGCCCGACCAGCTTAGCGCACCACCCTCTGGTGCAGGTTCCGCGAGTGCGGCAACGTTGTCTACTCCAACGTCATCAAGGATGAGTCGGGTGAGCACCCGCCCCGCCTGCTGTAGCGCCGGCTTGGAACCAGCCGGTCTCGTCTCGCCTGCCAGCTCCAGGCCGGCAGCAAGCTCTGCGCAGCCCCAGATGTGGGGACGCAGCCGCCCAGCAGGCACGGCAGTGGCGGCAGGCAGAGGCGTGGGCTTCGCCGGCGCGTGCGGGGCCGCCGATGGCGCGCCACCCGGCGGCCTCGGTCGAGGCTGCAGCCTGCCCACACTTTTGGTATTGATGGCATCATGTGCGCTTCTGCTGCAGGTCGGTCCAAGGGCTGGGGCATCGTGGAGTTTGAGACGCCCGAGGAGGCGCTGACCGCCATCAACACGCTTAACGGCGTGGAGCTGGGCGGACGCACCATCCTGGTGCGGGAGGACCGCGAGGACCGCGACGTGAAGCAGGTGGGTGGCGCAGCTGCCGCACGCTGGTGGCCTGCCGCAAGGTGGTGGAGAACCTGCTTGCCCTTAGCTCGGCGCTGGCATAGAATCGCCCTGTGCCGCTGCGTGCCTGGCAAGCTGCGGCGGCGGCAGCGGCAGTGACGCGCTGCCAGCCGTGCGTGGCGTGGCCCCTGGCGTGGCCTGGGCAGTGGCAGCAATGTGGCAGTGGGGCAGCGGGTGCGTGGCGTGCAGCGTGTAGCAGCTTGTGCACGGAGCTGAGGGCCGGAGCTGCTGCACCGTGAAGCCCGGGCAGCTGCGCGGGGCTTCGCGCGGCCAAAGAACCTGGCTGCGCGCTGGATGCGTGGGGCGGCCTGCGCCTGACCCCTCGTACCGCCTCCCGCCTCCCTGCAGTACAACGAGGAGAACGGCATCACCCCCCCGGTGCGCCCTCCCCGCGAGCCACGCGAGCCGCGCGCCCCCGCGCCCGGCCGCGGCCGCGGCCGCGGCCGCGGCCCTCCCCCCGAGGGCGCCGAGGGCGAGGAGGTCAACCAGAGCAGCGGGCTGCAGATTGTGGTCAACGGCCTGCCCTGGGCCTGGACCTGGAAGGAGCTCAAGGACCTGATGGCCGGCACCGGCAACATTGTGCGCGCAGACGTGGTGTACGGCCGCGACGGGCGCAGGTGCGGCGGCGCGCCGCGCGGGGTGCCCAGCGCGGGGAGGCAGCTATGCCAGCAGGGCGGGCTGCGACATTCAGGGAGGGGCTGGCAGGCAGTGTAGCAGCCTGCGGGATGCATGCATGCAGCTGCCAGAGGGTGGCAAGTGGAAATGCGGCTGAGCCGGCGAGTTGGAAGCTGACGGAGCAGCGTCGTGCTGTGCGGCCCCCCCTTGCAGCCGCGGCTACGGCACCGTGCGCTACGAGACTGCCGAGGAGGCGGAGGCTGCCATTGAGCAGTTCAACGGCTCCGACCTGGAGGGCCGCACCCTGTCGGTCAGGCTGGACAAGTACGCTTGAGCTTCGCTGTCGAGCAGGCCAGCCACACCACCGGCTGGCCCACAGTTTGCCGCCGGGCGCGCTGCCGGGGTGCGGGGTAAGCGCGGCCGGCGAGGCCTGGCATGCGGCCTCACGCGGCTTGCGTTGAGCAGTCGTGCGACCCCACCCGATTGACCAACAGCACCCACGCACGAGGGAAGGGCCCCACCAGCCCCCACCACTGTGCTGACCTGTTTGTTACCCCCCCCCCCCCAGTGATTTGTTTCGTTCGCCATTATTCCTCCTCTTGGTCTGGGAGCATGGAACAAACCCCATTCTGTGCTGGCGCCGCTCCCCACCACCATGCCGTGTGTTAAACGCTTGCTACCAAATCGCTACCAAATCGGTGGGTGCCTTTTCGTTATTGTTCCTCTCGCCATCCCCTGGCTGCTACTTCATTAAAGCCTGTGAATGCACGCTGGCCCGCTGGCAGCACAGGGCATCAGGCCGGCGGCGAGCGCTTGCTGTATAGAGGCAGTGCGCTGAGCGAAGCCCTCTGGGCACCCCGGTCCCCTCACAAGGAGCAGTGCATCAACTCTGGGCACCAGGAGAGGGCTGTGTGAGGGGACAGGGCGAGCAGAGGATGTGGGTTGCCGCGCCGTCTTGCGCCCTGCTGGCGGTGCCAACCCCTGCTGTTGATCTGGGGAACTGGGGCCAAACGGCCATCCTCTGCGAAGCCACACACGAGATCCTCCCGCTCTAGACCTCCAACGTGACTGCAGAATGGAGGAGGTCCCAAACATAGAGGTCCTCTCTGCTGAGTGTCTCTCCTGCATCTTCAGGTCAGCGCGGTGGATATGACGTGATCAAAAATAGAGCGCCTAGCCGCCGCACTCGCCGTGAGCACCAGCTGCCGGCACCCGCTCGCCGCCTACCACCGCCGCCTGCCGCCGCCCTGCAGTTTCCTGGATCCCAGAGACCTAGCAGCTGCGGCGTGCACGCAGCGCGGCTGGCGCCTGGCAGTGGGCCAGGAGGAGGGCATTTGGCGGGGGCTGTGCGAGGCGCACTTTGCGCTCTCCGCCGCCGCTTCTCCAGACCGCCAGCCGCTCCCCGGCTTCAAGGCGGCCTATGGCTCCTGGCAGCTGTCCTTTGGGAAGTACGGCGAGATGGCGGGCAGGGCGCTGCGCGCCTGGAGGCAGGTGGAGGACTGGGCGCAGCAGCACTTCCCGGCGGTGGCGGCCTCCCTGCGGTGAGCGCCCGCCTGCTGCGCCGCGCAACCGCTGCTCCCTGCTGTGCGGCCAGGCCATGCACTGCTCTGACGAAGTGCGCGCACCACTTCTGGCCAGCATATTGCTGCCTGCCATCCGCAAGGCACTTCACCCAGGGCACAAACCCTGCCAACCGTATGCAGACCTGGCGCCAGCGAGGATGCGCTGGACGCGGTGCAGGCAGAGCTGGGCTTCCGCCTGTGCCCCGCGCTGCGCGTCATCTACAGTGAGTGAGCCGCCGCCAGGCTGGCGCCTGCCGCTGCCGCCGGCACTTGGGTTCCTGCCTAGGCCCCACAAGGCTGCCGGGCGGGCGGCTGGAGCCAGGTGGCCCAAGCCTGAGCCCCACCTGCCTTACACATGTCCTGCCGAGCCCACCTGCCCCCGGCTGCCTCAGCTGTTGTAATCGCATGCCTGCCCGCACCCCCTGCCACCACCGCCGCCGCCACCCGCCCCGCAGGGGTGCATGATGGGCAGGCGCTGGAGTTTGACCGCCAGGTGGACAACCAGCGCACCGCCATGCACGACTCGGTCTTCCACGGCCTGTTTGGGGGTGAGGCCTGCTTGTGCGGTGGTGGTGGGGAGGCCTGTTTTGGGGGAGGCCTGGCCTGGGGAGGGGTCATGCCTGCTTGGGGCTGGGGCCCGGCCTGGGGAGGGCAGCACAGGTGCGCGGCAGGCAGGTGGCTGCCGTGGCGCGCATGCACATAGCCGTGTTATGCCACGTGCGCCACGCTGCTGCTGCTGCCTCCCTGCGTGCGGCGCAGGCTACTCGTTTTACAACCACATGGTTTCGACGCGCATGCTGCCGCTGCGCCGCCTGCTGCGCTGGACCCGCACCGCCCACTCCACCCTGGGCTTTGGCCCGGAGGACCGTCGGGTCCTGTTTGCGGCCTCCCACAAGTGAGCGGCAGGAGGGGCAGGCGGCACCGGGGTGCGGCACGGCACATGGCGCAGCTGGCGTGTGTGGGCAGGGCAGACGACGCCGCGCAGGCAACAGCAGGACGGCTCCTCAGCACAGGCCACCGAGTGCCAGCACCGCTCTCTCTCCTTCCCTCTGCCTGCCTCCGCTGCCCTGCCCGCCTCGCCATCCATGCCCCTCCCGCCCTCCCCTGCGCTGCACCTACCGCCTGCCCCCGCTGCCCGCAGCTTCAACAAGATGCTCTACTGCGACTGCCGGGACGGCCTGGTGCGCATCGCAACCGTGGACAAGGTCACCTGCCTGCAGGCGGTGCCCGCCGACAGCCAAGCAGGTGGGGCAGCGCCCGCGCCGGGTGGCCAGCTGTATGTGCCGCCAAGCGCAGAGGCCAGCCTGGCATGCTCCACGCCTGACCTCCCGTGCAACACCCGGCAGCAAGTGCTGCCCCCACACGGCCACCGCCCCAGCACCTGATCAGATCCTGCCCGCCCGCCTGCCTGCCCGCCTGCCTGCCTGCCTGCCTGCCTGCCTGCCTGCCTGCCTGCAGGCGCGTGCGACGGCGTGCTGCGCTGGTTTGAGGAGTACGCGGCGGCGCTGGCTGCGGGTCGATTTGGGGTGGAGCCCCTGGAAAGCGAGTATGCCGAGAGCCGGGGCATCTCGCTCTTCCCGCAGCTGCCGCCCTGGCGCTCCGAGGCGGTGACAGAGGTGGGGCCTGGTGGGGGTGGGGGATGTGCCGGGGCTTGCCTGCCCATGGGGATCGAATGTTGCAGCAGCGGGGCAGCACGCCGGGACCGGCAGCTTGCCAGTGCAGCTCGCTGGGCATCTGCCCAGCTGCTGCCGCGCTCCGACAGAGAGGCTGCCGTGCTGCGCCGTGCTGCGCCGTGCCGCCGTCTCTTCGTGCTGCAGGGCGTGCGGGTGTGTGCCTGCCCGCTGTTCGTCCCGGAGCTCACCCAGGTCAGCAATGTGGAGCGCAGCTACTTCTTCTCCTACAGGCAAGCCCTGCCCTTCCTTTACGCATGGAAATGGCAGACAGCGTGGCTGACGCTTTGACTGACACTCGGCAGCTGCTTTGGCGAAGCCAGGGTGTGCACGGCTGGGCATATGGTTGCTGGAGGGTGTTGTTTCCAAAAACGCAAGGCCAATGCCGACCTGGCGCCCTGTGCCGCCTCCCTCTGCAGCATCCGCTTTGCGCTGCTGTCGGAGGAGGAGCAGCTGCAGCTGCAGGGCAGCCTGGCGGGGCCCAAGGGCGGCGCCCCGCTGCACAGCGTGCAGCTGCGCAGCCGCCACTGGCTCATCCGCGACGCCAGCGGCGCGGTGGACAGCGAAGTGAGGGGGGAGGCGGTTGTCGGCCACTACCCGCTGCTGCGAGCAGGTGCGCCTCTGGGCCTTGGGCGCCAGCAGCAGCGCCCATGGGATCCCAGGCCGGCAGCTCGCTCCGGCCTGCCTTCCCGGCAGCTCTGCTGGCTGCGCATGCGCCCAGCCCACCGCCGCCGCGCCCTGCACCGGCCCTGCCCTGCAGGCGCCCCCGCGTTTGCCTACCAGAGCTGCACGCACCAGAAGGAGGCGGCGGGCAGCATGGAAGGCAGCTTCCGCTTTGTGGAGGGCAGCCTGCAGCAGCCGGGGCGCGAGTTTGACGTGGCCTGCGCCCAGTTCAACCTCAGCGTGCCTGAGGTGATGTTCTGAGGGAGGGCCCAGCTGCTGCTGCGGAGCCCCGGCAGGCCACCGCAGCCTCAGTACAGCCCAGCCAGAGCCAGTTAAGATCCTAGCCTGCCGGCTGTTGACCGATGAGTGTCGTGTGTTGGCTCCCTGTTGTGACAATGCGTGCCTTCCGGCAATGGGAGCAGAATGGCTTTGGTTTACTAGTGCTAGTACCAGATGCGCATGATCAATCGTGTCTAGGTACGGCAAATGAGTGCCTGAGAAGCGGAGGAACAACATGAAATGAGACACTCAAGGAAGGGCAAACACAGCATGAATTCAACAGAAGGAGCAGGAAGGAGATGGGCAGGGGGACAGATCCAGTAGCAGGAAGGTGTGCAGCAGGGCAATCAGCTTGCTGCGCAGTTGACACGCTACTGCCGCAGGGTAATTATCAATTCACGCAGGGCGCTGGACAGGGCTCGATGAGGAGCAGGGTGGTATTGACAGGATGCAGACTAGGCTCTTTGGCTGTCGCAGGCAGGCAACCAGCTCACTGATGCGCTAGGGGTGGCCCAGCTCAGAAGCCGCGTGTGTGGATGGCTGCAGGGCAGCGGGCACGGCGGATGGAGTGACAAGCGCTCGGCAGTGGGCAGCAGGCGGCTCAGAGGGTGGTGCTGTCTGGCTCCATGTTGACCTTGCATCCCCGCTGCCACAGCTGCTGCGCGTAGAACTCAGCATGCTCCTTGGGTGCGCAGGTGATGATGGCCTGGCCGATGGAGCGAGCCTGCAGGCCAGGCGGGGGCATGAGCACGACATGAGGAGTGAGCAGTGGTGGGGCACGGAACAGGCGGCGGGTTGGGCTATGCACGCGCGCAGCAGCAGGCTGCTGGCGCAGCACTAGCCAGGCAGGTGCGCACCGTGTGGAACACGTTCTGGGCGTGGGCCTGGTCTGCGCCAACCACCGCCATGATGGCATCCACCACCCGCGCCTCCACATGCTTGTCGCTGTCCAGCAGCAGCACGCGCCATGAGCCGCCGCCCAGGCCGCGGCCGCCGTTGGAGTCCAGCTTGCTGCCCGCGCTGTCCGTCAGGGGGGTTCCGTCCGGGCCGATGGTGCCAAAGGAGGGCCTGTCTAGGACCGCGCCACCGCCCCTGTCCTTGGTGGCAAACGTCGAGTGCAGCGGTGCGCGGCGGCGGCGCGGCGCCGGCAGCACCGCGCGCGGCCGCTGAGAGGCGGCGCCAGCACACGCGGGGATCGTTGCTGCTGCGTGGGAGGCCATCGGGGGTGCGTGCGCCCACTTCTGACTGTCTACAACTGCGCTTCCAGATGGCGGCGGGGTGGATGCTGTGGCCGATGCGGGCCCTACTGGCGCCTAAACTGCAGCGAGATGGTCAGGCCGGCAATGCAGATGCACGGATGGCTGGGTGGGGCAGATAACTGCGACCTTTCATTGCGCTTCCACCTGGCAGAAAGATATTTCCGCGAGCAATTGCTGCGCGACCAGTTTCAGGCCAAAAGATCGCTGGTGGGCAGCTTCACGGGCAGCGGGCTTGTCTGGTGCAAGTGGGCCGATGCAGTGCGTCCTGAGCAGCGCCCAAGGAGCGCGCCTGCAGCCGCATGGGGCGTTGAGCAGGCACCGTGCCTGCGCCATGGCTGCACCCAGCAGGCGGCAACGGCGGGTGCAGCGCCGCGAGGGGCCCTGGCCCTCGGTCGCGGCGGCGGCGGCGGCAGCAGGCGGCGAGCCCGCGGCAGAGCCCTCGGTCGGCGCGGGCGCCGCAGCGACAGCCGAGGCGCCCGCCCTGCCCGGCAGGAAGTTTGTGTACGCTGTGGACGGCAAGCCGGACTGCGAGCAGGCCCTGCGCTGGGCGGTGCACAACATCTTCAGCAAGGGTGGGTCACGCTGCGCTGCGCTGCTGTTTGTTGTATGCCACAGAAGAAGGGCGGGCGGTTTGGTGTGGGCAGGGACCCAGTCCCTGGTGCCGCCCACCAGGGATAGCAGCTGCAGATGAGGTTCCGCCTCCAGCTGCACAAGTTGCCTGTGCATGCTGGGGCCGGTCCGGTCTCGCCTGCTGATGCCGCCGGCTGACAGCTCCACACCCCACCGTGCCGCAGGCGACACGGTGTACCTGGCACACTGCCTATCCGACCCGCGCACCCCCGCCACAGCGGTGGGCTCCTCCTCGGCGGCCACCCAGTGGTCGCCCGCCCGCGACGAGCAGCGGTGAGCGGCATGCTGGTGGCGCGTCGCTGAGCCCCTACACCCGGCCACCACCCCCTGCCTGCCCGCTCCTGGTGACTGCCCGTGCCTGTCCCTGTTCTCGACGATGACCCCCCCATTTGCCCCCATTTGCCCCGCAGATATGCCAAGGAGTTCTTCCTGCGTATGGAGCACGAGGGCAGCGCCATGCTGCAGGGCCGCTACGTGCCGCTGCTGCAGTTCAAGGGTAGGTGCGGCGGGGTGCCAGCAAGGCCGCGGCTCGCCTGCGGCGCCACCTCCTCACACACCCTCGCACACGCGCACATCCACACACACCACACCACCGCTGCGCACGCTTCATCCGCCCGCCGCATGCTCCCTTCTGCAGGCGTGCAGCACGAGGAGCTCCTGCTGCGCCTGAAGGTGCATCGCTCGGCGGCGGGCATCGCCGAGGCCATCTGCTCCAAGGCCTCAGACCTCGGGGCTGATGCGGTGCTGATTGCCAGCCACGGCGCGGGGGCGCTGGCAGACTTTGGCAGCGTGTCCAGGTGGGGGCAGGGGGCGTGTGTGTGTGTGGCCACCCTCGCTGGCTGCTGGGGTGGCAGTGCGTAGGAGGCTGGCGGCGATGCTTTGAAGGGGCCTGGCTGAGTGACGATGCGCCCACTGCGCGCGGGTGCAGGTGGGCTTCCGAGCACAGCAAGGTGCCCGCCCTGCTGCTGCCGCCATCGACCATGGACCCGCAGGCAAGCAGCCGCCGCCGCCTGCCACGCTGCACCGCTCCGGCAGCCTCGCTCCCGCGCTACGCCGCCGCTGCGCCTGCGCTGGCACGCTGACCCTGCAAGCTCCTGTCCCGCAGCCGCCTGGCCCGCACCCGCCTTCACTTGCGCGCAACATGCCAGGCTGCTCCCTCACCTGCCGTGGCCTGCCCCTGTGGCGCAGGCTGTGTCCGCGCCCGCCTCTCGGGCCGTCGTGGTTGCCGGCACAGACAACATGGAGGGCCTGCGTGACGCCTTTGAGTGGGCGCTGCACAAGATGGCCAAGCCAGGTTCGGCCTCACTCCCTGTTCCTCCCGTGTTTGGCACCCTACCTCCTGCTGCCCTTCAGGGAAAGGGTCGGAGGTCCCTGGCACCACCATCACCACTCCTCCTCATCACTGCACTGCACGTGTGGGCGGCATGCCAGCCGACAACCGCACCCCCACCCTTCCCCGCCGGGCTGCAGGCGACGTGGTGTATGTGCTGCATGCCGAGCAGCTGGCTGGAGACGAGGAGGCTGTGGACGCGCGCAAGCGCCTGGTGTCCTCCGTGTTTGAGTGGCAGCAGGGCAGCAGCGCGGTGGCGGCGCCGCTGGTCAACGTGGTGTGCGACATGGTGCTGGGCACTTCCAGTGAGTGGCAGTGGGAGTGGAAGGATGGGCTGGCGGGCAGCAGCTGTTGAGGGCCGACTGGCAACAGGCAGCCAGCGCCCCTGGCGCCCTGGCGGCCGTCGGGGCGAGCCTGGTGTGGTGGCAGGGCGGGCGTGCACGAGGAGGGCATGGCTGCTGCGGCTCGGGGGTTCTGCTGTCAGGCTTGCAGGCATTCTCAGGTGCACCTGTTGCCCCCGCCGCCGCCTGCAGTGCCGGATGAGAGCATGGCGGAGCCAGAGGGCGAGAGTGGCGCAGGCGCGCAGATCTGTGACCTGGCAGGTGCGCCATGCTGCTGCCTGCATGTTCCCTCTCTAAGCGGGAGCTGGCAGCCCGGGGTGATGGTAACTGCTGGCAGCTTTCCGAGTGTCTGCCTCGGCCATGCTATGTGCCCATCTGTTGCCATGTGAATCAGATTCAGCCGCCAGCTGCCACTCAGTTCTGGCCTCCAATCACCTCCCCCTGCAGCCGAGGTGAATGCGCGGTGCGTGGTGCTGAGCCACCACGGGGCGGGGATGATGCGGGAGCTGCTGTGGGGCCACGTCACCATGCATGCCTCCAAGTTCTGCCCCCGCGCCCTGGTGGTGCTGGAGCCGCAGCATGTGGGCAAGAGATGAAGGAGTTGATTGTTCAGTTTTGCTTCCGCCTTTTTCACGCCACGCACCAAGCACGCGGCAGCTGATCTGGCAGCGTACCGTCGGGCATGGAGGTGGTGCGCTTGCTTTCCACCCACCTCCCCGCCTCAGGCCTTCTCCCTCTTGGGATGTTGATGCTCTGCCCAGCTCTCTCCCCACCATGCCAGCAGCGTTCAGCTCTCTCCCTTGTCTTTGCCGCATCGCAATGATTTTGTATCCAATCGCAACGCCATCTCTTCCTCCCGCCTCATGCACCTTCTGTCCCATGCCTTTGCCACACCTCTCCGTCTTGTGACGTCCGTTGTTGCATCATTTGCACGTGTCATCAAGACTGCCCTCTGGCAAAGTGGTAAATCACATCAATGTACCAACTGCAGACAGAGAAGGCAGAGGCCCAGGGAGGCCACTGGTCACGGTCGCGCCCCTGCAGCCCGATTGTACCGCGGCTGAGCGCTAAGCGCTTGGTTGCGCCAGCTCCTGGTTCTCCTCAGCTAGCTTTCACTGCTCATCACCTGCAAGTTCATCGTGTTTGCGCCCCATCCCTGTCAGCGCGCCGCGCTGTGCAGACGTTGCCTGCAGCTGCTGCTCACGTCGTTCACAGTCACCTGGCCTGCCTGGCCTCCGAGCTGTCCATCTGTCCAAGGCAGCTTGCCCAGTAGCTATCCCCTCGTTGACACGGCCTGTACCCTCGTTGACACGGCCTGCCGCGTAAACCAAGCGCCCCCACAGAAGCTCCACAGCCACCCAAGCAGGCTTGGGGTTCTGACACCATGAGAGCCGCCGGGGCCCTCGCCCTGGCACTCGCCGCCTGCGCAGTGCTGCCTGCGCACGCCGCCCAGGGCAGGTCGCTCAACCAGGTGGGCCTGCCTCACACCAGCAGACCTGCTGCCGCCATTGGAAGCTCACGAACTGGGAGCTTGCGGCGCCCAACCCGCCGTTGCCGCAGGTTCCAGAGCGCCAGCGCGCCGGCGTCTTGGATCCATCCACTGCAGCCGAGGAGCCAATCCTCACCACCGCCATCTCAGTAGGCGAGGAGACCACGGCCTGCCAGACCTTCTCTCCCTACACGCTCGAGTGGGGCTACTCCCGCTCCGCAGTCGACTATGGTGAGCCGGCAGAGCGATGGCAGGTGGTGGGGAGGAGGGGCTGCCTCCAGTCCATGTGGCAGCCTGGGCGTTCCCCTGCTGCCTGTTGGGCACGGCACTCCCTGTTCTGGTGAGCCTGTGACCGGCTCACCTGCCCAGCTGCGCGGCCCGTGCAGGCGCCAACGGCACCAGCCAGCCCGACCTGAGCGACGTGCAGGTGCCTCGCTCAGCCTGCCTGCTGGCCGCCTGCGCTGGCCTCCAGCGGCAGCCATCCCGACAGGAGCTGCGTGATGCCCATGCCACAGGCCGCCGGCCTGCTTCCCGTGCTCGCTGCAGGCCCTGATAGCGCGCATCTGCCGCAGCCCCGCGGCGGCAGGCTCCCGGATCATGTCTGCCGTCCAGGCGGGAGGCCCCGAGGCGCAGAGCGCGGTGTATGCCCTCCTCAATGCCGACTGCCCTGACGTCCTGGATGCGGGCAGCGAGACCTACAGCGCCGCCATCGACGCCGTCACCAGCGGTGACCCCGCAGACCTGCCGGCCGTGGCAGAGTGAGTGGGTTCCCAATGCTTCACTGGGGTGCCCCATGCAGTGGAGCAGCTGCCCCTTGGTAGCCTGGCAGTAGGGGCAGGGCCGACGTCGCTGGCAGCCGAGCCTAGTCCGCAATCATGTGGTGAGCCACTCGGCCCTGCCGCATCCCTGCAGGTGGTTCACCAACCTGGCAGAGGCGGCGGACGCCGTCGGCATCCCTCTCTGCGCCTCGGCGGCAGTCATTGACCCCACCACCGGAGAGCTGCTTCAGGAGGAGTTTTTCCACACGGGGGCAGCAGGGCCTGCCGAGTCCCCACAAGGTGAGCAGGTGGCCCCTCGGGCTGATCAAGCATGGCCCTTGAGACAGAAAGCCCCTTCTTATTTAGCTGCATGTAGGGTTACACTTTCTGTCAAATGGCTGGAGCATACAGCTTCTTGGTTTGGCAGGGGTTATGACGAGATGGCTTGGCAAGGGTTATGACGAGACCGTTGCCCCCACGCAGGCGCCGACGGCGCCGCCATCCTCACCACCTCCATCTCCTTTGTGGACACTGTGTCCTGCGATGTGTTCGACCCTGACCTCTTCACCTGGGTCACAAACTACACCGCCGAGCCGCTCGGTGAGAGCCGCCGAGCGGGCCGGTTTTAAACCCTAAACCCATTGCTGCGTGGGGTGCCTCTGTCTGTGGCGCATTTGATGGCGGCGCCTCCACCCCCTCGCACCTCCCAGGCCTGCCCGCGTCTGCACTGGCAAGCTGACGGGGTGCCCATGCTGCGTGCCATGCAGTCGCCACCAACACCACCAAGCCCCCGGCCAGCCTTGTCGGGGTGGGGGCGCTGGCGGCCTGCAGCCCTCGCGTGCTTGTCCACAATGAGGCCGTTGCAGCAGCACCCCACTCTCAGATGCTCACGCTATCCTGCTCACCGGTGCAGCTACACTGGCGGCTGCTGACTGCAGGCTGTGATGGACCAGATCTGCAGCGATCCCGTGACTGCCGGCGACCAGCTGCTGGCGGCGGTGCAGGCGGGAGGCCAGGAGGCACAGGTGTGGGTCGATGCCCTGCTCACCGCAGACTGCCTGGAGAACCCCAGCTCGCCCAACGACGCCTACCAGCAAGCCATCAACACTCTGAACCCCGAGGGCGACCCCACAGACCTGCCGGCAGTTGCCAGGTTGGTGCTGGGCACAGGGCACATGGTGCAGTGCGTGCTGTTCTGTTCACCTGCCAGGGACCAAAGCGGCCCGTTGTGTGCTTCCCCTGCGCTCGCTGTTGCAGCTGGTTTTCCAACATGGCGGCGGCGGCCGACGCCGTCGGCACGCCAGTCTGCCTTTCGCTGGCTGTGGTGAACGAGGGCACTGGCGAGGTGCTGGAGAAGAGGGATTTCTTCACTGGCGACACCGCCGCTTAGCGATCCTCACGGTACCATTATGCACAGCCATGGGTACATACCGGATGCTGTAAGCTGATTAATGGTTGGGATCCAGGTTCGGATCAAGCCCACTATCTTGTACGTACAGGATGCTGTAAGCTGAGTAATGGTTGGGCCATCAATCCGCCCAAGAAATGCCTGCTGTGGTTGGATTGTTTGTTGATGTTCTCAAAGGCGACTTGAAGTCGTGAGAGCTCCCAAACCGACGGCTTAGGTGCCAGGGACATCACATTCAGAGGAGCATGAAGCTGGCCGTCGCCCTGGCTCTGGCGCTGGCAGCCTGCACGCCGGTGGTCGCCGACGCCAACAGGAGGCTGGCCCAGGTAGGAGCAAGGCTGCACACCACCGATGCGTGCACCAGCTGCACAGCTAAGTGGCCTTGCAAGCTGAATCAATGATCGTCCCCGACACCCGCTGCCTGCAGGCCAATCCGGCCGCCGCCGCCTACTCCGCGCTGGCTGGCGCCGCATGTGAGCAACACAGCTCCATGGGAGGGATGGGCACCTGCTGCCCATCCCACCACACGACGTATAAGGCCTGCATGCCGCCTGCCCCTCCACCTGCCGCAGCCCCCAGCACCTTCCTCACCACCTCCATCGCTTACGACACAGAGGCAGAGGCCACCCCGTGCGACACTTTTGATGAGGCCAACTTCGGATGGAGCACCCTGGCATCCGCCGAGGAGTATGGTGCGCCTCCAGGGGGCCTCATTCAACCCTGCCATTGTTGCGAATAATGCCGCTGGACCTGCAGGTCGGTGCCTCACCCACCGCCCGCCGATCTGATGCGCCGCAGGGATCAGCGCCAACGACACACGGCCCCCTCCCGACGTTGTTCAGGTGGGGGCAGGGTGATGCGCTGCTGCTTGCTAAAGCAGGCCGCCCTCAGGGTTGGCTCACAGCTGCCCATTTGGGCAGCATCACCAATGAGTCTGTTGTGCCTGCCTTACCTCTCCCTTCCCTGTTCCAAACGAGGCAGGCAGTGCTGGAGGAGATCTGCAGCGCCCCCCAGGCGGCAGGCGCCCAGCTGGTGACGGCAGTGCAGGCGGGAGGCGAGGAGGCACAGGCCTGGGTCTACACACTGCTGGTCGCCGCCGCCGACTGCCCGGATGAGCAGGCTGCGGCCGATGCCTACCAGGTTGGTGGTGGCGGCGGCCCCAGCAGCAGCGATGGAGGCAGAGGCAATGCTTGTGAGCGGGTCAGCTGCCTCTGCTGGCTGCAACATGACCCCTGTGCCCCCATTTCCTCCTCCCAGGTTGCCATAGACGCCGTCAACAGCGGCGCCCCAGCAGACCTGCCCACAGTCGCAGAGTGAGCGGCGCAGCAAGTGCCTGCTGGCCTTCTCGTGACCAGCGGCGCAGCCTGCCGGGCCTGCTCCCGGGTGCCTGCTTGGGTGCACAACAAGGCCCTGCTCGTCTGCCCTGCTGTGCAGCTGGCTGGCAAACTTTGCCGAGGCATCCGATGCGGTTGGCATACCTCTGTGTGCCTCCCTGGCGGTGGTTGAGCCCGACGCTGGCCGTCTGATTGAACAGCGCGACTTTCACACTGGTGGAGTGGGTGAGTAGGTGCGCAAGAGCGCAAAAGGATGTTAGGTTGAGTTGATTGAGAGAGCGCCTGTGTGTGCTCTGCCGTCCTGTCCAGCGCTGCACTCTCGAGTTGCTTGCTTTACAACAGTCGATCAATGTTCCGTGAGTGTACTGTGACAACAAAGGACTGGGCCTCACCACGAGGACAACACGGCGGGAACACAAAATGCTTTTGGGGCGCGGCAGTCGAAAACCGCCCCAACGGGCGTGGCAGCGGAGAGCGGAAGTAGTGTATCAACTTGGGAGCAGAGACGTGGAGCGAGACAAAGCAGGGCGGGGGCTGTGTAGCAGGTAGATCGTTAGTTTTCAGGGTTTCAAGGGGGCATCCATCGGGGTCGTTGAGCGTGTGCATTTGCGGCGGCGCGTAGGGCGCGTGCCGGGCCGGCTGGCTGGCCTGCCACGCCTCACTTGCCGCGCAGCTCCAGCAGCACCTGCACCACGCCCGGGTCTGCCAGGGTGGAGGTGTCGCCCAGCTGGTCTTCCTCCTTGCTGGCAATCTTGCGCAGCACACGCCGCATGATCTTGCCGCTGCGTGTCTTGGGCAGGCCCGGGGCCCAGTGGATGACGTCGGGCGTGGCGATGGGGCCAATGGCCTTGCGCACCTGCGCAGGCAGGGCACACAGGGGCAGCGGCAGGGGCAGGTCAGTCGGCGGCAGGGGCAGGCGAGACGTCCGCGCATCCTCTGCAGCCGGCTCTCCAACCCCTCTTCATCACAGGCACACCGCTTGGCGGGGGCACTGCACAAGCCTGCTCCGCTGTTGGTGCTGCTGCCGCTGCTGCCGGCTGCCATAGGGTGCGCCCTCTCCTCCCAGCCGGCTCCCAGCCAGGCCCCACCTGCGCCACCAGCTCCTTGCGGACCGACTCGTCAGGCGGGTACTCGTTGCCGTTCATGAGGGTGACAAAGGCGTAGATGGCCTGGCCCTTGATGGGGTGGCTGCACGCAGCGGAACCGCGAGAAGCCGACGCACATCAGCTCAGCTAACATGGTAGCTGTTGGCTGGAGCGGCACGCATGGGCATCTAGAGGGCAGGTGTCGAGTACCGGCGCAAACCGCGCGCGCCGCGGCAGCCCACACACTCACTCGACGGGCACCACGGCCGCCTCGGCGCACAGGTGGTGTCCCACCAGCGCGCTTTCCACCTCCGCCGTGCCGATGCGGTGCCCGCTCACGTTGATCACGTCGTCCACGCGGCCCAGGATCCAGTAGTAGCTGCGGGAGAAGAGGCCAGGGCCATGGCAGGGGCAGGTGAGGATGGGCGCTCGCGCAAGAGGCCGCATGCCTGCCGCACACGAACCAAGCAGTACAAACAGTACACAGCGCCGGCCACTGCCCGGAGCCGGACCCGCCGGCCGACTGCCCCCATTTTCTGCTCACCCGTCCTCGTCGCGGCGCGCGCCGTCCCCGGTGAAGTAGTACCCCTTGTAGTGGGAGAAGTAGGTCTGCTCGAAGCGGGCGTGGTCCCCCGCCACGGTGCGCATCATGGAGGGCCAGGGGCGCTTGATGACCAGGTAGCTGCAGGGGGTGGGGAGGAGGGCGGGTGGGTGGGGAGGCTTCGACACAATCAAGCTTACGCGAGCCCAGCACTCTGGAAGACGGCGGGTCACTCACGCGGCCAAGCTGGCAACCAGCTGCAGCTGCAGCCCATGCCCACGCCCTCCCACCACCACCGCCCCCCAATATACACCCGCACTAGCAAACCCTGCCGGCTCACCCCTGGCCGGGCCCCTCCACCTCGTTGCCCTTGTCATCCAGGATGGCGGGCTCCACGCCGAAGAAGGGAAGCGTAGCGGAGCCGGGCTTCATGGGGGTGGCGCCCGGCAGCGGCGTGATCATGTGCGCGCCCTGCAGCGGGGCAGGCATGCAGGGGCGGGGTGGGGTCAGCAGGGAGGCGCGCGCGCAGCCGCCGCCGTGCAGCGGTACGACCTGCAGCGGTACGCCCTGCAGGCCGCCCCGCTCACCGTCTCCGTCTGCCACCAGGTGTCCACAATGGCCACATTGCTGTTGCCGACCACCTGCGCGGCAGGGAGAGTCAGGGAGGGGAGGAACAGGTAAGGGGGAGCTGGGGTTGGGGCCAGGCGTCGAGGGGGATAGCACGAGCGGAGCAGCCGCAGGCACAGCACCCCAAGCGGCTGCGGCGCACAGCAGCGACAACCAATGCCGGCAGCGCCTGCAGAGCAGCTGGCAGAGCGGCTGGACAGCACAGCACAACGCGGTACGGCGGCCACCCAGCCTCGCACCTCGTAATACCAGCGCCAGGCCTCTGGGTTGATGGGCTCACCCACCGTGCCCAGGATGCGCAGGCTGGTGCGCCTGCAGGGAGCGCGGGGAGGCAGGGCAGGGGGCGAGGCGTGCGTGTGAGGAGGAAAGAGCAGTGATGGCGGCCAGGTGGGATGGATGCACCCCAAAGCCTTGCTGCTTCCTCCACACCACCACCACCACCACCACAGACCACCCGCAAGCCGCCGCTCACTTGTGCTTGGTGACGTGCTGGTTGCCGCAGGCCATGAGGGTGCGGATGGCGGTGGGCGCCGTGTAGAACAGGGTCACCTGCGCCAGGCAGCAGCGGCCAGAAAGGGAGGTCGGCAGGCGCGGGAGCAGCAGCAGCCCCAAGGATGCGGCGTCGGGACGGCGGTGGGCCCATGAGTCGAACTAGCGACCTTTCTCTAACGCAGGAAGAGGAAGCAAGGCCTGACAAAGGACAGGCATAAATAAGCAGCAGCAGCGGCTCACCCCATACTTGTCGCAGACCTCCCAGCAGCGGCCGGCATCGGGGTAGGTGGGCACGCCCTCAAACAGAATTTGCTTGGCGCCCATCAGCAGAGGGCCAAAGGTCACGTAGCTGTGGCCTGCAGAAGGGTGGAAGCAGGGACAGGGGCGTGGTTGGGGGTCAGAGAGCGGCTCCTGCACACGCCGGCACACACGCTTGCTTCCCTACCAGCGCAGCCCAGCCCAGCCCAGCGCAGCGCAGCCCAGCGCAGCGCAGCCCAGCCCAGCCCAGCCCAGCCCAGCCCACCCTGCCCACCCGTGATCCAGCCGCAGTCTGCGGTGCACCAGAAGATGTCGTCGGGCTTGTAGTCAAAGACATAGTTGAAGGTGGCGGCGGCGCCGCACATGTACCCCGCCGACGTGTGCAGCACGCCCTTGGGCTTGCCGGTGCTGCCAGAGGTGTAGAGCTGCGGGGGCGGGGGTGCAGGGTAAAGAGCAGGTGCTGGTTAGGTGTGGTGTGGGAGCCTGGGAGCCATTGGGGTGGGCTGGAAGCAGGCTGGGCACAGCAGGAGCCGTGGGTTGGCTCAGCCTGAGTGACCCCAGAGCGGCAGGTCACTCAGGCTGCCACCAAACAACTCCGCATCTTCCTACTCCCCACATGCCCCCCAAGCACTCGCACACACACCCTCATCTCACCTTGAACAGCGGGTCCTCTGCGCCCACCCACTCCACCTCGCACTCCGTGGGCTGGTCGGGGATCACGTCCTGCCACCACACGTCGCGCCCCTCCACCAGGCTGGCGTGGATGGCCTCCCGCGACACGCCCGACGCCTTGTGGTCGTAGATGAGCACCGTGGGCACGTGCACCTCCTCCTCGTTGTCCAGGATCTGGAGCGCCTGCGGGGCAGGACGGGGAGGGGAGGGAAGAGGGCAGGGGGCGGGGAGGGGCGGTCGGGAGGCCGGAAGGTGGCGCCGCGGGTGGAAGGTGGGATCTGGGAGGCCAAAGGGGGTGCTGTGCAGCTGGGCACCAGGCAGCAGGGCGCGTATACCACCAACAACAACAACATCAACAACAACAGCGACAACAACAACAGCAAAGCCCAGCCCCGGCCCCACCTCGTCCACAATCTTCTTCAGCTCGATGTGCTTGGGCCCGCGCTTGACGGCGGAGCAGGTGACCACCATCTTGGGGGAGGAGTCGGAGATGCGCCCCGCCAGCGATTCGGCCGAGAAGCCGGCAAAGACGACAGAGAAGACGGCTCCCAGGCGCGCGCACGCCAGCTGCGGGGAGGGAGGGAGGGAGGGGCAGGTGAGGGTGTGGGTGTGGGCCGTGGGCCAGGCAAGGAGAGGGCTCGGGGGCTGGCTACGCGGGGTCCGCCCAAGCAGCCGACCAGCCGTTCTGTTCAGATGGGGAGCCGAGATGGGCAGCTGGATGCCGGGCAGGGGGTGCCGGCCACACGCACCATGGTGGCAGGCAGCTCCGGGACCATAGGCATGTAGATGGTGATGTTGTCGCCCTTGCCCACACCCTTGCTCTTCATGTAGTTGGCAATCTGCGGGTGGAGGGGGCGGGCGGCGCGATGGGAGAACCGCGCCGGGCAGGAGGACGGGCAGGCGCGCACGCAGGCTGCATGCTGCCGTTGGAGAGGCACCGCGGCGCGCCGCCCCACACACCTGGCACACTTGGTCGTGCAGCTGCTTGTAGGTGGTGGTGGTCTGCTGGTCCACGTCGTTGCCCTCCCAGTAGAAGCACACGCGGTCGCCGTTGCCGTCCTTGACGTGGCGGTCCACGCAGTTGTAGCACTGCGGGATGATGTGGACGGGGCGGCGCGATGTGGAGGCGGTGAGGGCGGGCATGCAACGGGATGGCGTCTCCCTGCTGCTGCTGTGAGCGACCCGTGCGCAGCATTCTTCGATCACGAGGATAGGCAGATGGCGGGGCTGGGCCCCGGCTCGGCAGGCTCAATGTGGGGGGGCAGAGGGGGCGCCCGCTCCCAGGCGGGGGCGGGTGACTCACCACATTGGTTTCGGCGCCGTTGAACCAGGAGAGGAAGATGCCGCCCTTGTTGAGGTCGAAGTTGTACCTGGCAGGAGCGAGGAGGGGGTGCGCGGGGGCAGAGGTGGGGCTCCCTGGCTGGGCAGGGAATGCGCCAGCCCGAGCGGCTGCAGCGGCAGCGGCGGCAGGCGGGCGGCGGCCGCCGAACCCGGGCTGGCTCACTTGTGGAAGTTCTCGCCGCTGTCCCACTTCTTGTTCCAGTGGAACTGGCTGGCAAAGTCGCCCCAGAAGCCCTGCAGGGGAGCAGGAGAGTGCAGGGGGCCGTGAGTCATATTTGTCAAGGCCACCCTCGGACTGGTGTCGGAAGTGATGGCAGCCCCAGCGGCCGCCTCACCTCAGGGTCCTTCAGGCTGCGCTCATACATGTCCTTGTACTTGGCCAGGGAGTCCACATGGGCGCCCTTCACGACATGCTCGGGGGGCTGGTAGAGGGTCGCCATCTCGTCTGCAGGGTCCTGTGCGCGGGCCATGGTGTCAGAGCGCGCACCAACGACCTTGGGTTGCGATCACCACCCGGTGATCTGGCCAGGAAGGATGAGTTTGGGCTGTGTGCGGCACTGCGAGACGGCCAACCCCAAGCCAGTGCGTTTGTGGGTGAACAATGCAGCATGTGATGGCCGCCACACGCACCTTGATCGCCTCAGCAGGTGCCGCGCAAGTGGTGACTGGGCTAGACAGCTCCCTGCAGCCCTGCGTCAGGCGGAGAAGGCTCCCGATCGCTGTGGGAGGAATCAGGGATGATGCACAGCGAGTGGGGCTTTATAGCTGGGCCGAGCTGCGTGCGTGGCAGATCGGTAAACCCCCATGTGTTGCCCGCTGATGTGGCACCTCCCCCGATTCGTCTGGCTCATCAGGCACGCTCTCTCCCGCGATCCCTCCCTTTCCTTCGCCTTTCAGAGTCTCTAAGGCTTCTATTTCTCCCCTCCCGCACCCCGCAGCTGCCGCAAATTTAAAATTATGAACCAACCTGTCATCCTTTATGCCTTAGAACGGCGCCAAAACGGCGCCAAGAATGTGTTTCTCACTAAGTCAGATGTAGAGGGCATCATCCGGATCAAGCAGGGCGACCAGCAGGCGCCCTCAGGCCGGCGGCGGCGGGGTGCGGGAGGGGGGGCGGCAGTGCAGGGCGGCGCCAAGAACTACAGCAAGAAGGTGCTGCAGTTCTTCCAGGTGCTGAAGGGCGCTGGCGGTCAGGACATCCTGTGCCGCTGCGTCAAGCGCAGCGGAGAGTGGCGGTGGTGCCCCGTGGTGCCGCTCGAGGAGCTGCCCCGAGTGATCAAGGAGCACCACGAGCGGGCGACTGGCTTCAGCGGTGTGGAGAAGCTGTACACACATGTGAGTGATACAAGGGGTGCAATGATGCCGCCAGACCAACTGGAGAGTGCTCTGCATCAGGCAGCAACCGGATGCATCGCAGCAAGCACGGGGGGTGCGGCACGGCCAAGGTGGCGCTGCCCTCCTCTCCATCTATCCCTCCTTCCCTCCCTCACGCCGCGCACTCCCCTGGTCCTCCTTTGCT